CCCACTTCTCTGTGTAATTTCATTTTTATGTCCCTTCACTGGAGGACAAAGCCTGGCTGGTCGAGAACTTGCGGCTCCCTGGCCATGACCGTAGACCTCTGACTTCCGACCCCTTTCCCACCCTAGAGGAATTGCATTTTGCAGGATGGGTATTGAATTCAAATCAAGGAGCACATATTAGGCACCTGCTGTTTACTGGCGTTGGGCTGGGTGCCAAAGATTGTATGGTTTTCTGTGTAGAATCCTGCAGTGCTTATTCCTTGAGTGCAGAAAGAAATAGAAAATAATCACTCCATGCCCTCTGACGCCAGCAGACCTGGGAGCGTCCCCGCCGGCCACTCTGAGGGTTTTTTGTTTGCTTTTTCCTACCTCAGGACCTTTGCACCTGTCTTTGCTGTCCTTGCTGGCCTTACTCCACTGAGGGCAGTCTCAAGCACTGCCCCAGAGCCTGCCTGTGTCTGTCGGGAGGTGCTCCTGGGCCTTGCTGAGGCCTCTGCCTGCTGTGGCCGTGAGGTCAGCCCAGGCCTGGTGATGCCAGTCAGGAGTATCCCTTTCCTTGGAAGTTTTTTAGGCTGCTGCTGGGGTTAGGGCACACCTCAGACTTCCTTCCTCCCCTCCTAAATCTGTTCTGCCCTCCCGGGAGGACTAATGACCGGGCAAGTGGGTTAGGCTGGGCCCTGGTTTTTCTTTCTTTTTTTTTTGCAGAACCGGGGATTTAAACTCAGGCCCTTGTGCTTTCCAGGGAAGCGCTTATTCCACTGAGCCATCTCCCCGGCCCTAGGGCCCTGGTTTTTCGAGGGCTCACCAGATGCAGACAGAAGAGGTTTAGGTTTGGTTGCTTCTGCCCACACCCACACAGACGCTTACCCCGGTACTAGGGCTTGACCCAGAGCTTCACATTGGTCTGCATTGAGCTATGTTCTTGTTCTTTTTTACTTTCAAAGACGGGGTCTTGCTAAATGGCTGAGTAGCCTAAGCTGGGTTGGAACTTGGAATCTTCCTGTCTCAGCCTCCCATGCCCCACCATGCCTGCCTCCTGTGTTCTCATTTATAAAGTAGACCCTTGTAAATATAAATACACGTGTACATCACATTTGCATTTTTTTACTCAGTACAGGGTCATGACCAGTCATCTGAACACACCAAATGACCCTTTAGGTCACCAGGGCTGTGGGCCGTGGGCCTTGATGTCTGTTCCATCACAGTTCCCTGATCAACACAGGCCTGCGACCCAGACACACACACAGGGAAGCTGGGCCAGGCTTCATGGCACACTGGCATCCTAGCTCTCTGGGAGGCTGAGGCAGGAGGATAGTGAGACCCTGTCTCAGAATAAAAAGTGTTGGGGATGTAGCTCAATGCAGAGACCCGGGCTTTAGTCAGTGACACAGATGGACACACACAAAAGTGGGGTGCATCTGGCTGAGACCTGGACTCCTCTAGGCCTGCCCCTGGTTTCCTTATGAGTGAGGACCCCTCCCCAAATTCTGGGCAGCAGACATGGGGGTGTGGCATGGAGGGAGACTTGTCAGAGTAGTACCCCATTGCCCAGCCAGCACCAGCTGCTGTCCCTCTCCCCCAGCACTGCCCTGGATGCCATCGACCTGTCAGGAGCTACTTGTTTCTAATCCTGGAGAGCCCGCTAGTGCCTGGGCAGTGGGCAGGACAGCAGAGCTCAGCTTCATTAAGGAAGCTGAGTGCCCAGGCTGGGGATGGGGGCAGCTGGCAGGGACTTGGTTCCCAGCGTCTTCTGGGTAGAGCTGGGCTGACCTGTGGGTGACAGGCCATCATAGTGACAAGAGCGAATTTGCACAGGTCCCAGGGGGTGGCCAGGGGGCTGTCCAGCTTTGAAGAGGAGGAGCTGGACCCAAAAGCTGACATACTTACCTGTGGCCACTCAGGATACAGCAGAGTCAGGACTTGGGCCCTCTTCTCTGGCCCGTTTCACACAGAGCATACAGCTCTGGCTGCCTCGACGGGGAGGCACCACCATCCTAAGCTGTAGAGCTGGGCATCGATTTTCAGTCGAGGCTGTGGAGGGAAGAAAGTGAGGTTTAAAGGCTAAGTGGCTTCTCGTTTCCACTGTCTTCTCTCGCAGGCTGACCTCAAGGCTTGTCCCCATTGGCTTGTCAGCTTGGTGAAGTGGGCACTGTGGCCTTACGGGGTTTGGGGCTCTGTGTGGGGGGACCAGGACAGGCTGGCAGGCTGAGGGTCTGATTCTTATCTCTGCCAGCTCGGTGTCATGAAGCTGCAGTTAAGTGTTCGTTCAATGCTTTGAAAATGACAAAGCATGCAGGCGTGGTGGCACCACCTGTGACCCCAGCCCTCAGGAGGCTGAGGCAGGAGGACCAGAAAGTTTGAGGCCAGCCTGTGTTGCACAGTGAGTTCAAGGTCAGCCTGAACTACATAGCAAGACTGTCTTAAAAAATAAAAACAAACAAATAAAAACAAAGACAACCAGAAAGCACAGTACAAACAGGTCGGCCTGTGCCACCTCTCACATTTGGCCAGATGGAAGTGGCTTTTGCGAAGCACTGTGTTGGGTCTGCCATGCGGGTGGTGAGCGGAGACTCACAGCGACTTCTGAAAAGTCAGTGTTGGGAAGGAGCTCCAAGACCCTTGGCATCTGCCGAGAGGGTGTGCCAAGGTAGGGCTGCTCTCCAGCGCTGTAGGAGGCGGGCTGTCCTGTGATTTATCAAGCCCCAGCACCAGCAGGCAGTGTGGACCCTGACACCTGGTGCATTAGAGTGATGGATGAGCTGTGATGGGGCCACAAGGAGCCAAGGGCCTGCCTGGCCCTACTGGGAGAGGGCCGCACACTAGGGGAGATGTCCCACCCCACCTTGCCGGACTGGGCTCTGGATGTGGAGCCCAGGGTCTCGGCCCGTGGCCCACCCAGCACAGCATGAACTCAGGGTTCCTCTGGGCCAGGGCTAGGCAGTGGGCAGATGGTCGAAATGGCCTTCCAGCGTCCAGACCCCTCCTGCCGCTGCCCTCTAGGAAGTCCCCTGGGACCTCCCAAGCAGAGAGGACACAGACACCACCCTCTGTCCCTGCAGTCCCTATTTCCCTGTATCATGGATTATAGGGAGTCGGGAGGGCCCCAGGCAGGTAGCACAGGAGGACTGGAGGGGAATAGGGCCTGCAGAGGGCCTCACCAACTTCCAGAATGAGGTTGCAAGGCCCTGTCATTTCCCTGTAAATCTTGTAATTTCATGCTCCAGGGGACCAAAAAGAGAACGCAGCTCCCTGGCTCTCCCCAGGACCTTATCCCTTTTGCCTGCCAGGATCCGGAGTCCTTCATCTGCCCCATCCCCCTCAGGTGACATCCTCTCCCCACTGCCAGCTGGGCTTCACCCCTGGTCTCTGACCAAGCCCTGTGCTCCTCCATGCTGTCTTCACCTCTGTGGGACACTTGAGTGTCCCCAAACCTGACCTGAAAGAGGTCAGGAAAAGCCAGGCCAGAGGCACAAAGGCCAGGCTCCTTCCTGTGACCACCCAGCCACCTCCTGGCCTCCACCCACAGCCTCTCCAAGCAAAAGGTTAGCTCCTTGCCTTCCCAGGTGACCCTTGAGGAGGCAGCACACACCTCCCTCTGGGAACCTGGCTCAGTTTATTCCGTCACTGGATGGGGACCTGGCGGATGGGCAGGAGCTATGGGGGTGTCTGCAAAGGGTTTTGCCCTGAAGGAACTTGAGGTGAGGTCATGTGAGGGGGGACAGACTGGAAGGAGCCACAGGTGGCAGATGTCACTCAAGCTATGTGGGCAGAAGAGAAGGGGACTGGTGACAAGGGGAGGTGGCAATGCATAGATGCCAAGAAGGTCCCAGGCTCTGAGCCTTGAACTCCCAGATTTAGGGATAAGGACGCAGTACAGAGAGGTGGTTGTCCTGACCTAGGTCACAACTAAGAGGCGATATCTTGAGACCCCCACCTGGGCTTGCCTGATGCCAGGCCCTATGTCAGGGGCTCCCTGGGAATCTTAGAGGGCCCTGGAGGCAGAGGGGTGACCCAGCTCATACACTGGGTCCCACACCAATCCCACACACTTCCCAGGCCTAGAACCCTTTGCCGCAGTCCCACAACCCCGCGACCACAGTCCAGGAGACCCTGGAGATGGATTCAGATTCAAGTGCAGGTCCTGATGTGTTTCTCTAATCTGGCTCTTCCAGGGCCAAGAAGCCTTGAACCCATACTCCCTGAGCTCAGAAAGCAGGTGTTCCTCAGACCCTGGGGTTCCTGGTGGATCCTTGGGTGCTCCCCTCCCCCACACTGAACCCCCAGTGAGGCACACAGGCCTGGGAGCCAGGCTTTCTGGGCTCAAATCCTCACCGTTGATACTGGACAAGTAATTAACCCAGAGGCTCAGTTTATTCATCTGTAAAATGGGCTGGTACATCCCTACCTCACAGCTGTTGGGGGAAGACTGAGATCTTGCCTGTCAACTGCCTGACAGACGCTCATTTAAAAAGTACTCTTGGGGCCAGGGAGATGGCTCAGTAGAATAAGTGCTTGTCTTGCAAGCGCAAGGGCCTGAGTTCAATCCCCAGTTCTGCCAAAAAACAAAAACCACTACTCTTGTGTATGTGAGTGCTAAGGACAGAGACCTAAAGCCTTTAACACTGAGCTACATCATCAGCCCCTTCTTAAAAATGTTTTACTTTGAATTAGGCTCTTGGTAAGTTGGCCAGGGCTGGAATTTGCAATCTTTCTGCCTCAGCCTCCCAGGGTGCTAGGATTCCAGGTGTGCTTAGCACCCTGCACTGTCCCTGGAATCCTCTTTGGCCCAGGGCCCTCTCATTTGCTGTTCCCACAGAGTCCTACTAGAATCCCTCTGGCCTAGGGGCAGCTGTCTGGGCAGTGATCCTGCAGGGCCAGTGTTGGTGACTCCTACCTTGGTCCTTACCCCTGCCTTCCACTGCACCCCACTGTTGCTGCCTGAACTCTCCCTGCCCAGGGCCCTGTGGGCCGGCCGCACTGACTCAGCCCTTGTCTTGCAGGCTCTCCAGGTGGCCCGCCAGTTCCTGCTGCAGCAGGCCTCAGGCCTGAGCTCCCCGGGGAACAATGACAGCAAGCAGACTGCCTCTGCCTCTGCCGTGCAGGTGAGGGAATGGCGGGGCTGAGGGTCGGGACCCTGGGGAGAACCCCTCCTGCCGCTCCCAGCGCCCCCCAACCCCAGCAACGGGCGCCTGGCCAGCAGGAAGCAGTTAGTGCAGCAGGGTGCGGCCAGAAACTTCCACTTTCTCCGTCTCCCCGTCTGCCAGGCCGTACTCTGGCTCCGCCTCTGTCCCTGTCACTCAAACGCTGCGTCTGTCTGCGGCCCTAGCTCCTACCTGTCAGGGTCTTTCTCGGTCACTTCTCAGGTTTCTGTGCCTCGTCCCTGTGGGTCTCTCTGTCATCGGCCCTCTGTTCCCAAGGCCTACGAGGGGTCTCCGCTCCCGGGGTCCCCAGCCCTCCCCTCCCCCACCTCCCCTAGGTCTCTCGCGTCTCTCCCGGTTTCCTGTCTCTGGATGTCTCTAGGTCTCTTTTGTTTTCCTTTGCACAATCTGCCCTTTTTTCGCCTCCTCCCTTCCCCCAGCTCCCGGCCCATCTGGCTGGCTGGGGGAGGGGGATCGGTGGGAGGTGGGGGAAGCCAGGCCTTCTGTTTACCTTTTGTGTCACAAAGAACTTGGGAGAATTGCAGTCTGAGTCTTGCCTGGGTCACAACTGGGGCAGCGGCGCCCTCTCGCTCCCCTCCCCCCTCCCCGCCCAGCGGCCAAGCCCTCCCCACCCCCACCCCAGCAGCAGGGGTGGCTGGGGACAGGGAGAGGATTAAGGGGGCTTTGAAAGGAAGTTTATCTAGCAGAGCTGATCCTGAGCTGGCCTGCTGTGGAGTCTGGGGGCTCCGGGGGCTGGGGAGGGGAGAGGGAAGTAGGGGGGACCCGGACGGGGTTCTCCTGGGGAGATTCCAGCTCTCCGACAGAGTATCTGGGTTTTATAAAAAAACACGCACATGTTTGGAAAACGCTTTGAAACGGTTCAAGGTGCTGGGCAGCTGTGGGGCCCCCGCAGTCAGTAGCCTTTGAGCAACCTGGGGCCCCGCGAGGCCCAGAGCGGGAGCCAGGAGGGGAATCTCCGGCAGGGGGAGGAGGAGTCTGCCGAGGGCGTTGGGGCGGGGCCTCTGAGTCCAGACCCCATGTTGCACATAGAGGGGTGCTAGGCTGCTGACTGGGGTGTCCCTGACCCACAGCCAGAGAGAAGAAGCTTGCAGAGCTGCGGGGGGGGGGTGGAGGGGGACTCTCCAGAATGAGAGCTTGGGTTTGGCCCATTAAGAAGTGGCCCTTATCCCAGGTCTTCTCTCTGTTGCCTCCTGACCTGCTTGTCGTCTGCCCTCCCAGCAGCAGATTCTGAGCTCTCCCTGGGGCACAGCTGACGCTGGCCGACAGCTTGCCATGGGACAGACAGCGGGCACTCAGGCCTTTCCTCTGTGCTGCGCCCCATGGGACAGGTGCTAGGATGCGGCCCATCTTGCAGACAGTTGAGCGAGTCACCCCATGGATAAGGGGCATAGCCCAGATTTGAACCCAGACAGGTAGCTACAGAACCACGCCCCACCCCCATGGTGGCTCTGGCTGCCACATGCACAGCGTCCCCCGCCAGGGGTTTGGCTGTTGACCACTTCCTCTTCTGCCTCCTGTCCCTTCCATACCTCCCACTCCCTCTGAAGTTCCAATCTCCAGAGGAGGGGCCTCGCCCAAGTTGGATCCAGGGTCTAGAAACAACTTTGCCAGAGCTCCAGGCTGTGGAAGAGAGGAGAGAGCACAGGGTGCAGGACAGGCGAGGGCTGGGCCTATGTGAAGGGAGGGAGGCTCCTGGGGTTGCCTGTTGTGGCTAACCCGGCCTGGCTGTGCAGGGGCAGCCCTGGGCCACAAGGCAGTGCAGGTCCCACCACTCTCTTTCCTTTTTTTTTTTTTTTTTTTTTTCAGAACCGGGGATTGAACTTAGACCCTTGTGCTTGCCAGGCAAGTGCATATTCTACCGAGCCCTCTCCCCAGCTCTCTCTTTCCTATTGTGACTTTAGCACAGAATTAGTCTGAGACTTCCGGTCCCGTGAAAGGGAATTAATCCAAGCTTCAGCCTTGCCGCCCCACTCTGCTCCCCATGCTCCCATGGACCCCAGACCCCTTACTTAAGAGCTTCTGTTCCAGTCCTTCCCTCTGGCACCCGATCGATCCCATCCATGCCATCTCCAAACAAGCTTTCTCTGGGATTGCTTCTTATCTTTCGGGGGTGGGGCAGGGATGTGACCCCTAGGATGAGACCCACTGGGAGGCCAGGGTCCCACAGCCCACCCCTGGCCACCAATGCTGTGATGCTGGGTGCTCCCACAGCATGAGGGCAGAAAGGGCTGTGAGGCTCGGTGTTGCAGGCTTCTGAAGTGTCACTAACCCAGGTCCCCTCAGCAGCCACCCCAGCTGCCAGCCAACACAGGAGCTGCCTGAGTCCGCCCATCACCACCAGCTGTGGGGTCCCTGGCATGGAGACCACCAGTGAGGAGGAGGAGAGCCAGAGCAGGGCTCAGCCACCAATTGGGGGAGGAGCAGATGGGCACCCTGGGACTTCCCCACATCCCTGTGCCTCCTGCTTCCGCCTATCCTGGGGATTTCCTAATCCAGGCTCTTAGCCTTCCACGCTGAGTTCTGCCCCCATGTTTGGGCTGGGGGAGGGACAAGTCTATGCAGGACCCCCTCCCCGCCCAGGGCCTGCAGCAGGACTCTGCCTGCTGGGAAGGCTGCAGCTGTGGCAGCTGACACTTAGCACCCACAGTGCACCCAGCCCTCTGTGGAGTGGAGGGAGAGGCCTGGGCCCCATCAGGCACCCATCCTGCTAAGACATGGCTGGGCCCTGCCTGCTCAGACTACACAGGCCTGGGGGTGCTGGGAGGTGGGGCTGGGAAAGACAGATGTCACTGATTTTCACTGAGCCTTTTCCAGAGAGACCCAGCCCAGGTAGGAGCTGACAGCCCCTCTCCCTGGAGCATTCCAAGTGCTCTGATCAAGCGGCATCTCTTTTGGTCCAACCCCATGCGTGACAGCCCAGAGAGGACAAGTGACTTGCTCAGGGTTGCACAGCAGGTTGTGTGCCCAGCTAGGAGAAGCCTGCTGCCCTAACTCCCAGCCCACTGTCCCTCTCACCCCTCTGAAGACACAACGACACTTCCACACCCTCACCAGGGCAGGGCCTGAAGGCCTCCAGGGCCTCAGGTCTGGGCTACTCTGTGCTTAGCATAGAGTATGTGACGTGTGTGAGCGGGGCCAGACTCCATGTCCCTGTGCCAGGTGGGCCACTGCGCAGCCCTTCCCATTGCTGTGGATGCCTTCGGCCAGCAATCGCTGGCCAAAGGAGAGCTGAGAATGGCCTGGAGCACTGCCCCTCCTGGCTACTGGGGGAGACCTGTCCACTCCCAGGTTCCAGTCCCTGTCTGTCGGGTCTGATTTCCCCCTGCCAGCATTGCATGCCACAGTAACAGTTGCTGCCCTGGTGCTAGCTTCCGGCCCTCACTGCACCTTATGGGGCAGGCATTGTTCCCATTGACTAGCTCATTTGCATCTTGCTCTGTAGTTCAGGCAGGCCTCAAGCTTGGGACATCCTCCTGCCTCAGCCTCCTTTGTGCTGGGATTACAGGCATGTGCCATCATGCCTGGCTGCTGATCTCCTTTGTAGACAAGAAAAACAGAATAAGGATCTACCCCTTGTCTAAAAAAGATACAGCCTGGAGGCAGCATTGCCCTGGCAGCCCCTCTCAGAGCCTCCCTATCATGCTGTGGGTGGCCCCGGGTGCTGCCCCTCGCTAACAGGGCAAACCCTGCAGGTGCCGGTGTCCGTGGCCATGATGTCGCCGCAGATGCTCACCCCGCAACAGATGCAGCAGATCCTGTCACCGTCACAGCTGCAAGCTCTGCTCCAGCAACAGCAGGCGCTCATGCTGCAGCAGGTGGGTCTGGCCTCCGGCAGTGGTGTCCCCACCTCCCTCCCTGTTTACCACAGGGCAGTGGCAGAAACCAGCATGACTGATGCAAGCTCAGGCCCAGCCCACCCGCATTCCTCCAGGCAGGGCTGCTGGGAGGCTAAAGGTCCTGCTCAGCAGCCCCCAACCCCAGTATTCCCCTCTGCTGGCCCCACTTCCAACTCTGGAACTCCAGGGTAGGGCAAAGCATCTGGACACCTGACCCCATCCCCAGATGCGCACGAGGGCTCCTCCAAGAGGCAGGAGGGCTGGTCAGCAGGGTGTGCTCCCCTCCTCGCTGCCCACCCCCAGCTGATAGACAGGTGGGCAGGACGTAGCTGGAGGTGGCTGGCCCTGCCTGCTAACTGTCCCCCACCTTGTCCCCTACAGCTTCAGGAATATTACAAGAAGCAACAGGAACAGCTGCATCTACAGCTCCTCACCCAGCAGCAGGCTGGGAAACAGCAGCCCAAAGAGGTGAGAGGCTGCAGCAGCCTGGCCCAAGGCTCCAGATGTCCCCTGAGATCCCTATCCCAACACCTGCAGTGCCAGCTCTACCCTGGCCAGGGGCCGTCAGTCTGGAAGTGCTGGGGAAAGAACTGCCCTGTGGGGACTGGGAAAAGCAGGACAGCCTTGTGCCAGGGCCAAGGGGCTGTGGCTTACGCCTCCCCCATTCCCCCAGTGGTGGGGTCTCAGTCTGTGCGCATCACTGGCCCCGGAATGTCACATCTAGCTGCCTCATGTCTGTGCCACCCCCTGCCTCCCTCCCCTGCTGGACTTCTGCCCAGCCCCCACACCATGGCCATGTGCTTCCCTCCTGCTGGCCAAACCAGAGTCCCTGTTGTAAGTGGCCTCTCCAAGCATTCTAACCCAGCCCTTCTTTAGCTCTCTGATCTCTGCATTGAGTAGCCAGCAACTCCCACCCCCACTACCTCCTCCCAGCAGGAGAGGCACCAAGCTTGGTTCCCATGGCTCAGAGCCCTGCTGACAGCGGCTTGTCAGTGCCTTCGTGAGGAGGGAAGGAGTGGAGGGGCAGGCGTGGAGACAGGCAGGGTGTTGCCTAGCGGGCGCGAGATGCTTTGCCTGCTCTGGTCCCACCCCATCCACCCGTTCGTTCTCTGTCCAGACAGCAGAGCGCAGGATCTGGGAGGAGGGAGAGCACCCCCCCCCCGCAGAAGGGGCCCCCAGGCATGTGGGAATGGTGCTTTTAGGGGGGGTGGCCTCTAGGCTCTGACGGGCTCATCGATCACAGTGACGGGAGCCCCCCCCAGGCGCACGGAATGCGCAGCAGAGGGGGGAGGGCTGGCGTCGTACTGCGTGTCTGGGTCTGGCTGCGTGTGTTTGTGCGCGCGCGCGTGCGTGCATGCGTGTGTTTACTGCGAGAAGGCATGCAGCCCTATGGAAGCTGGGCTGGGAGCAGAGAGGCTGCAGCTGCAGACGCCGCCACGACAGCTCCGGGCGCTGACAGGGCCTGGGAGGGGGTGGCCGCGGGGTGGGGGCCGGATGGAACACCTGAGGCTGAAGGCACCCCTCTCTGCCCGCCCCCTCGGGCCGCCCCACAGGCGCTGGGAAACAAGCAGCTGGCCTTCCAGCAGCAGCTCCTGCAAATGCAGCAATTGCAGCAGCAGCACCTGCTCAGCCTGCAGCGGCAGGGGCTGGTCAGCCTGCAGCCTAGCCAGGCCTCAGGGCCCCTGCAGACCCTCCCACAAGGTGAGCTCCGCCCTACCCCCCACCGTGTCCCCCTGTGCCCCAAGGCCCAGGAGGTTAGAGAGAGCTCTTTGGTCCCCTCAGCCTGACCCAGCCAGCCTCCTGTCTTCCCCTAGCAGCCGTGTGCCCCACAGACCTGCCTCAGCTGTGGAAGGGTGAGGGTGCCCCGGGGCAGCCTGCTGAGGACAGCGTTAAGCAGGAGGGGCTGGACCTCACCGGCACAGCCACCACCGCTACCTCGTTTGCCACACCCCCAAAAGTCTCCCCCCCACTCTCCCACCACCCCCTGCCCAACGGACAGCCCACTGTGCACACATCTCGGAGAGACAGGTACAGTGGCAGTGCATGGGCAGCGTGGCAGGGTTGGGAGCATCAGACACCTGTGGGGCAGACCTGGGTTCCCATGCTTGGCACTGCGGGGGGGTGGGGGGTTTCTGGTTGCAGGCTGGATAGTCTGGTGCTAGGCCTTAGTAAGCTGGAAACAGCAAAAACACCAGACCGGGCCTGGGCTGCTGAGGTCCTCCGAGGTCTCTGAACAATTCCTGACCCCCTAGCTCCTCCCATGAGGAGACCCCCAGCTCCCACCCCCTGTATGGACATGGAGAGTGCAAGTGGCCGGGCTGCGAGACCCTGTGTGAAGACCTGGGCCAGTTCATCAAGTAGGTGCCGCTCGCTGCCCCGCTCACCCTTTCTGTGGCCTGTGGTCCCCTGAAGTCCTGGGTCTTTGCTCCAGGGAGACTTGAATTTCACCTATGCCCACTTGGCCTCCTGATCGCCTACTTACCCTGTCTTCCCAAGCTTGCGCCCCACTGCCCCCCTTCAGCATGGGGAGGGGTGTGAGGCGGAGCGTGTCCCCTGCAGTGTGACAGCCTGAGCCGGTGGACAGGCAGGACAAGAGGCAGCCAGGCGGCTGGTAGCAGGCAGACAGCTGCCACCGCCATGCCAGCCTCTGTCTCTGACTGATTAACTCTGCTGTCTCCCAGACCCGAGCAGCATCAGGGGTCAACCAAATTGTTTTCACGCTTCGTCAGAGGTTTACTTAATTAGTTCATTTGCAATTAAATCTCTCTGTAGAAGGGGTTTTAGCAAAGACATCAAAGCAGGCTGCGAAGAAAGAAGCCCTCTGCCCTTGCCCTCTTTCCGCCTCTCTGTCTCCTTTGCATCTCTGGTCTGTCTGCTTCCCAGGCACCTCAACACGGAGCACGCCCTGGATGACCGCAGCACGGCACAGTGCCGGGTGCAGATGCAGGTGGTTCAGCAGCTGGAGATTCAGGTGCGGCTGGGGGGTGGTGCAGGTGGGCTGTCTGTGGGAGGATCCTGACGAGCCCAAGGTAGGTGAGGAAGGCTGGGGCTCTGGGCTGTTCACCAGGGTTGGGGCATCTCTGTTGGCAGCTGCAGAAGAGCCTCATGCTACTTAACAACAAAAGCTAGCCAGGCAAGGTGGCACGGGCCCATCACCCTAGCCATCTGGAAGGCTGAGGCAGGGACGTCCCAAGTTACAGACTGGCTGTGTGGCTCTCCTCGTGATAGCCTGCCCCGCTCGCTCCAGGATGTTCTTTTATGTTGCTTTGCTCTCTAGCAGAGCCAGTTCTCCTGTAACTCTTCACTTTTACTTTCTCAAATCAATGTGGCCACTGCTAAAAAAGAGAAAAGAAGGGAGGGAAGGAAGAAAAAAAGAAAAAGTTACAGACTAGCCTGGACCACTTAGCTACTTAGCAGGACCCTGTCTCAAATGAAGAATAAAGTTTTGGGGATGGACCCAGTCCGAGAGCCCTGGGTTTATTATCCAGTGCAAAAACAAAAACAAACCAGAACACATGGTCATGTAGTGCTCTGAGTGCCTGCCTTTACCTAAGAAGCTCAAGAAGCCCTGTAAGCCAGGTGCTGCTGTCATCCCTGTTCATGGAAGCACAGCTGGCCCTGGTGACCTGCTGGCAGCCCCTGAGCTGACCAGGGCAGAACTACAGAGGTGACTCCTAGATGGGTCTGTCCCTCAGCCAGCCGAATATTTGCCCATTTCCCCAGCTCCTTGCAGCATGCGCTGCCCACGAGGGTGGTCGGGAAAGATTCTGAGTTTGCGAGTGGACATATCACTCATTGTCCCCCAGGACTGGCCCTCACTAGTGTCCCCTGGCCTCCCTGGGAATGAAGACACTGTGTGGAGGGGTGGTCAGTGGGGACCTCCAGTGAGGGCAGCAAGGAGAGGGGGACATGGAGGGGCTGGATGCTTGGGAGGAGGCCAGGAGAAGGTGGCCTATTGAGGCCAACTGAGCCCTTGCCTGCCTACCTGCAGCTGGCCAAGGAGAGCGAGCGGCTGCAGGCCATGATGGCCCACCTGCACATGCGGCCCTCGGAGCCCAAGCCCTTCAGCCAGCCTGTGAGTGACGCCGGCCCTGCCCCTCCCCCACCACCAGGTCCTGGGGTCTTTGGTGCCAGCACCAGCACCTCCATGGCTCACAGCAGGACCTGGCCTGGCCCTTGCTCCTTCCTCAAGGTGACTGTCTCTGCGGACCCATTTCCCGATGGCCTTGTGCACCCCCCAACCTCGGCAGCTGCCCCTGTCACCCCCCTGCGGCCCCCTGGCCTGGGTTCTGCTTCACTGCATGGTGGGGGCCCTGCCCGGCGGAGAAGCAGTGACAAGTTCTGCTCCCCTATCTCCTCAGGTAAGGTGGGGTGGGAGCCCCCCAGAGGCCTGCCCCAGGTTGCTGCAGGCCACCTCACCCTGCCTCACCCTCTACTCTCCCCACAGAGCTGGCCCAGAACCACGAGTTCTACAAGAACGCCGATGTCCGGCCCCCTTTCACCTACGCCTCCCTCATCCGCCAGGTGAGCTGGGGGCACAGGCCACTCTGTTCTCTCCTGGAGGGAGACATCCCTTGACCTTGCCCTTAGTGGTGCCGTCCTCCCCTAGGACTGGAGCCCGATGGGCCTGCCCACCACTGGCACGGATGTCCTGGGCTCACACACTTCCGCTCACACACACACACACACACATGCCCCTCACCTGCCTGTGCACACCTCGATGGGCCACCGCACACTGTCTTCTCCCCATGCCTCACCCCCACTGCCTCCCCTCCTAACACTCCTTTCCTCTGTTCATGGGCGAGGTAAGACCTGGTGGAGACCAAGTCCACAGGTGGGGCCCAGCCTGAGGGTCCCTTTGCCCCATCCTCACCCCAGGCCATCCTGGAAACCCCTGACCGGCAGCTGACCCTGAACGAGATCTACAACTGGTTCACCAGGATGTTCGCCTACTTCCGCAGGAACACTGCCACCTGGAAGGTGAGCTCTGGGCCCAGGCTGGCACACCCCAAGCCCCTCCACATCCCTGGAGATCAGAGCTGCCTGACCATTGGTCAGCCCCCACTGATTAGTTCTGTCCAGGTGGCCACCAGGACCCAGCTGAGTGCGGGGGTGACAGGCATGCACCCCATGTGGCTCTGTAACTGCCTTTAACCACTCCTGCTTGTAGCCTTGTGCTTCTCCTGCCAGGGAAGAGACCCATTTTGGGGGTGCTCTCCCAAAGGGCCTCGAAAGCTCCTACTCCTCAAGGCAAGGCTTCAGTAGTCGGCCAGGCCCCCCTTGGTAGGGAGGCCTGGGCTGGAGGCCCCAAAGAGTACATAGGCTTGGACACACGAGTGTCCTGCGGCCATGGTCCACGTGCTGGGGTACGAGGCACTCAAGTCTCCCCAGGGGTAGGAAGATAATTGTCTCATCCAATTAGTCATTTCACAGGGTTTTCCTGGGGGACCAGAGGAAAGGGAGAGGGGGACCCTAGAAAAATAGGACATGGAGATGTGGGCCAGGGCACCGAGCCATTTATTTTTCTGTAGCCAAGTTACAGTGCATGATTTGTGTGTGTGTGTGTGTGTGTGTGTGTGTGTGTGTGTGTGTGTGTACGCGTGCGCCACACTCTCATGAGTTGGGAAGGTGGCATCTAAACCATGCCAGGCCTCACGGGAGGCAGAGGAAGGAGGCTGGTCTTGTAGGGAGGTGGATCCCTGGGTCTTGAGTCCCCCTGCTGGCCAGCACAGGAACTGCAGTTAGGCCTCTTCCCCCTGGTGCCACCTGGTTTCAACAAGTGTCCCCCAGGCCTGTCTCCCTGGACTGCTTGGAACTTCCAGGACTGGCTTTCTCTGCCCTGGGTGTGCACAGGGGGCCCGTGAGGGAGTGCCCACGACCTCCATGTGTCCAAGCCTAACTCCCAACACTTGGAGACAGGCTGTGAGGCCGAGGCGCCTGCCATGATTGGCTGTGAGTGATGTCATTTCCTGCCAACCATAGCCCTGCCCTCCTTCCCAGCCTACATGGCCTTCCTGGGGCCACCTGCACCAGTCTGCAGCCTCCAGGCCGGGCCAGATACCAGGTGCTAGAAACTGAGACTTGTATACAGATGTAGGGAATCGTTGCAGTTACTGTTCGTTCTTCACTTTAATACTGTATGTTAGTCCTTGGCCCCAGGAGTAGCAGCGCAGAGCCCCATTTCCTGAGATAGTGTTGGCCTTGGAGACTGAGCTCCTGCCACCCACCCGCCCTGCGTTGCTCCTCTCTCCCCTGCACCCCCGACTGCAGTGTCCTACTTCTGCCTTCTCACGATGAGAAGCCACTGGTGCCAGTGGCCTCTACCCATTAATCTTCCTCTTCCTCCCCTCCATTCCGTTGGCTTCCTTCTTTTCCGTATCCTTCACTCTTCCTGGGCCCCACCCTGAGATGCTGTCTCCTTTGGATCAAGGGTCAGTGCAGGCCAGGCCAGCTGCTGGCCAGGAGGAGAGAGTGGCCATCTGCCAGGCTGCCGGGCCTCCAGGCCTCCTTGCGTCGTCCCCTCCCTGGGCCTGTCCTTTGTTTACGCAGCCCCCGCCAGACCCCTCAAATTGCCGGTAATGTTTCAGCGTAACGAATTAGTCTCTCATCACGAATCAGGCTTCGAAATGAGGGAGAAAAGCCCCGGTGAGGCCATCCTCGGAAATTGGGGTCATTCTCATTTGCAAAGCGGAGGATCGGAGCCCCGTAATGCGGGCAAATTTATTCCGAGGCAGGAGCCCCGGCGTGATTAGGCCCTTTGTAATTATCGCTCCGAGAGATTCCACTCCAGCCGCCCGCCTCCCTCGTGGATTAGCAGGCGAGTCGGAAAAATACACAGGATTTAATTAGAGGCAAATTAAAATTGGTAATGAAATCGGGCCAGTTGCAAGTGGCAAGAGTTGGAAGGCAGAGAGGGAGAAGGGTCTCCAGGGGCACAGGCTGCCTGCCCCGCCCGCTTTCTTCCCCTTTTAGAAATGTAAAGAGGAGATAAGGATTGGGGAGGCCGAGGGAGGACAGGTAATGGGGACAGGGACATGGGCAAGTGGGTGGGAGTGTGACAGCAGGTGGCTGGTGGGGGAGCAGGAAAACAGCAGAGAGCATGGAGGGGCAGAGAAGGCTGCGGGCACATTCAGGCCATCACCCATGTGTCCTACAAACGGGGTGACCTCAGCTCCTGAGGTACCCTGCCAGATGGAGGGGAGAGTGCCAAGGTGACCTAGCCCCCTTCCTTCCTGCCCTGTGGCTGCACTGTCACATGCCTTCTAGTTGATTTCCATGAGTGTGTATTAGGCCCCAGCTGTATACTCACACCCTCCATGTGGAAGCCATCTATTCCTGCGCTAGGGTCCAGGGAAGCTAGCACTCGCAGCTGGGGACACTCTGCGTGTGCCCAAGATAAGGTGCCAGGGCCCAGGTCCAACTTCCCGCTGCTCAGAGTCCTGGAGGAAGCTCCCTGTGTCTTTGACCAGAGCCAGCAGAAAGAATGGAATTCCCAGCAGGGACCACCATCCTATGGGGAGACCAGCAGGGAAAGCACCCTGGCTCCCTGCCAGCCTGGGCCTGGGGACATGGGACAGGATGAGGGCACTACTGTGCCTGTTGCTTGAGCCCCTCGCTCCACATCCCCAGAATGCCGTGCGCCACAATCTCAGCCTGCACAAGTGCTTCGTGCGTGTGGAGAACGTCAAGGGTGCTGTGTGGACAGTGGATGAGCGGGAGTACCAGAAGCGCAGGCCGCCGAAGATGACGGGGTACGTGGTGCTGTGGTCATCCAGGGGCCTGGGCTCTCCTGGCTCCTGGGAGGAGGAACAGCCTCCTAAGGTCCCTGGGCCCCCTCTTCATTTCCAGGGAACAGGCTGGAGAGGGTAAGGGGCAGAGCAGGGGACAAGGGGCAGAGCCTGGGTGCCAGGCTCTGGGGCAGGTGTTATGTGTCTCATGCCAACTGAGTTGGATGTGTTTTGCCCCCCCAGCTGTGTGACCTAAGGCCTGGTCCTTACCCTCTCTGAGAGACTATAAAGGGGACCGACCATCACTGAAGTAGACAGACAATCTTGGGCTGTGGCTCTCCCCAACACCTGTGGGTACAGCAGAGCCTTTTGCTAGGGGCACCTGAGGACAGGCTGGCCGAGCACAGGGCTAATCATGTGTCCCCAGCTCAGGGTGGCAGATGTGAAGCTGTCCAGGCTAATCTTGGGCTTTGCCAATCGACAGAAAACCCAGAGTGGAGAAGGACGAGCCAGGCAGCCTGATGTGCAGAGGGGCCTGGGAGGGGTCCTGCAGGGACCAAAAGGGCCTGGTGCTCCCAGTGGCCCGTCCTGCCAGGTCATCTAGGAGAGCAGAGGGGACAGGGCCTGGCTCCACACGGGCCCTGGCTGGGGATCGGGAGGAAGCGGGTGGTAAGCCGACCCCTGCTTCTGCCTCCAGGAGCCCCACCCTGGTGAAGAACATGATCTCGGGCCTCAGTTACGGAGCACTTAACGCCAGCTACCAGGTGACCAGCGACCCAGGACCGCCCACCCCCACCCAGGCCCACCTACCTCAGGTTGACCTCTGCCTGGATTTCACAGAGGGCTTGCAGCTTGTGGGGCCGGCAAGGGGGCTGGCATAACTTACATGGGTTCCCTGTGCTCCCAGAAAAGCAGAAAAGCTGGGACGTGGGACGTGGGGCGGAGTCTGGGCCTGATGCTGCCAAGAGGGACAGCCAGGTCACCAGAGGCGGTGGGGGGGGGGGCGGGGGGCGGGGCAGACCCAGCCCACTGACCCTCCACGCCCTGCACTCCAGGCCGCTCTGGCCGAGAGCAGCTTTCCCCTCCTCAACAGCCCAAGCGTGCTGAACCCCGGCTCGACCAGCAGCCTCCTGCCCCTCAGCCACGAGGACATGGGGGCCCCTGGGGAACCACTGCCCAGTAATGGCAGCAGCAGCCCTCCTCGGCTGTCCCCACCCCAGTACAGGTGAGCACAGGTAGCCCTGTCCTAAGCATCCCCCTTTTCCTGTTCCTCCTCATAATACTGGGGGACCCTGAGCCTTGATTCTGAGTGCATCCCCTTTTAGATTTTGATTTAGGGTCTCCTTCAATTGGCTAGGCAGGGCCTCCCAGAGTGCTGGGTTTAGAGTTGTGTATATGCCGTACCTGGCTTCATCTTGATCTTTCTCCTTCTCCTCACCTCTCTCCTTCCTTCCCCTTCTCTCTTCCCTCTCCACTCTCTCCAGTTCTCTGCAGAAGGCTTTGGGGGAGGTCAGAGCTCAAGGGTAATGGGGTCCTGGGAGGACCCTGTGGGTCCCCCGCTGTAGGAACCCCCTGGCGCCCACATCCTCCCTTCTGCCACAGCCACCAGGTGCAGGTGAAGGAGGAGCCCGCGGAGGTGGAGGAAGATCGGAGGCCTGGAGTGCCCCTGGGCCCCCCCAATCCCAGCACTGTGGGGCCTCCAGAGGACAGGGAGTTGGAGGAGGAGCTGCCAGGGGAGGAGCTATCCTAAGGGACCTGGGGAGAGGGCGGGGGCGATACCCCAGGCCCAAACCTGGCCTCCCCACCCCCACTTCAGCCCCATGAACCTCAAGGCACTTCCCGGACTCGAGGGGGCAGCCTAGGCCAGCAACTCCCCTGCCATGAACTGACACACGCTTAGGGGCAGGCACAGGCCCCGTCCCCAAGGGGACACGGAACCCCTGGTCTGGGACCAGCAGAGGACATGGAGGGCCCGGACCCCTCCCAGACCCCCTTCATCAAATGCCATCTCCCTAACCACCAGCAGCAGGCCCCACCACTCTCCCAGGACGGAGCCCCATGCGGGGGAACCCCCTCTAAGGGCCTGTGCCGCTCCCCTGATTTGTATGCCCCGCCCTTTCTGTACTGTGAAGCGGGTGCTCTCGGGGCCCCAGCTCCTCGGCCCGGCCAGCTCTCCTCCCCTCCGCAGCCACATCTGGGATATAGCACTCTGTGCCCCGTGGGGGTCCCCACGAGCAGCACCCAGGCTGGACTGTGCGAAGCCTCCTGGGCCCTCCAGCAGGTGCTGTGGGATGAGGCTAGCACCCTGCTCAAAGCCACCTTCGGGTGGGACTGAGCCACCTGCCGGATGGAGGACGAGGCGACGCTGGAACCCGCCTCACAACCCCTGGGCACTGCAGTCCTCCCACCCTCCCCGTTCCCCACCTCTGCGTCCCCAGTTAAACGGATGACCAAAGACCTTTCTTATGCCGGAAGCAAAAACCAAAACTTTTCGTTGGCTTTTTCCTTTGTCGCCTCCCAAACTCCCAGCTGTCCCGGGCCCCAGCTGGAAGCCCTCCTCCACTTAAGTTATTGTTTTAAACCAAAGTTTACAGTGTCTGTTGGTGGCAAGACCCTCTCCCTCTTTCCCTTTCTGCCCGAGGACCCTGGGACTGGCCCTGCCTGGGGACGAGGAAGTGGGTATATGGGAGCCTCGGTCCTCAGGCCCGGGCTGCCCCGGGGGCTCCCTGACCCCTCTCTAGGACCAAGTCCCTGGCACGCTGGGAGTGTGGATTCCTGGATTCTGGCACCAGAGCTGGAAAAGTGAGACTCTGAAGACCCCCTATGGGGGACCCCAACCCGAGGCCAAGGACGGGGTGCACATGCTCAGAGCACCCCGCCAGGCCCCATTGCTGAGAAGACCCCTTGGATATCTCCTGAGAACCCCATGTACGCCCCTTCACAAGCTGCCCCTCAGAGGCGGGGCTCCCCATGTACCCCACCTGTGTCCGTTTGACCAGCACAGAAATATTAAACGTCCTCTACTCACTGGGCCCCGTGTGTGTCACCCAGGGGAGGGTGGCTGTGGGCAGGGGGTTGGCGGGGCACTGGCTTCTGTTGGGTGGCTCTTGGGGTCCAGGGTCAAGGGTAGTGGCATCCCAGGCCCTTTGTTCCTGGGCCCTTGCCCTATTCCCTCACAGGTTTGAAGCCCCACGTTCCCAGCAGGGAGGCAAGTGGCTGTGTGCCCCAGCATGTGCGGGGTGCCATCCTGGCCTTCACAGCGGGATCAATTTGGGGAGCGCATGCACACCCCCAGGGCATAGGTGTGGTGACCACCGTGCTGGAAGCTTGGGGTTGTACAAAGATGTCACTCCCACGCAGGACAGCCCAACATGGAGGAGAAGAGGCTGAGCTGCCGCAGGGCCCCAGCATCAGACCCTTCAGATCGGGGTCCCCACTCTGCTGTCGGGGCCACCAGGTCCCTTCTGGACAACTCTTCCCCAGGGCTGCAAGGCCCAGGCCTGGGTGAGGAAGCCTCTGCCAGGGGGCTGCACCCCCAGCCAAGTTCCTCCCAAAGCCAGAACTTCCTGGAAGTCACATTCTTTTTTTTTTTTTTTTTTTTTTTTTTGCGGAACCAGGAATTGAACTCAGGCCCTTGCACTTTCTGGAAGTTAGATGAGGGTAGGACTGGAACAGAATTGGCCCCTGCTCTCATGTCCGTCCCACCCTGCCCTTCCCCTGCCACCAAGACAACTCGTGTCTGTCCCCACAGCCTTCCTCCCACTCTGCTGTGACCTGCAGATCCCTCACTGTCACCTTCAAAGGGGGAAAGGCAGTGCTCAGCTCTGGGTCTCAGTACCCAGGCACCACGCAGAAGGAACACATGCTGTGGAGGTCCTGGGCTCCATGTGGACTCTGGCTGGGCGACAGTGACTCCAGTCACTGCTGTGCCCCTGCTTCCCCTCCCTACCTTTCTCCCAGCTGGGACCCCAGGGATGCCTGCTAAGTACCAGAAGAGAATCTTTTTGGGCCAGCCTCAGGGGCGCCCTCGGCCAGCTCATTCCCAGCAGCATGGTCCTTCCTGCAGCCTCACTGCGGCAGTGCCTGGCTCTGTGGGCCACTCCAAATGCACGCTCCATTTCTGGGAGGTGAGGTGAAGATCTCCCTTGGGCAGTGGCCAGGGAGAGGCCCTTGCACAATAGAAGCAGAGTAGTTCAAGCTGGCTTTGCACTTGAGGTGGGTGATCCTCCTGCCTCAGCCTCCCAAGTGCTGGAGTTACAGGCGTGTGCCACCAAGCTCAGGCATACACTGATCTTTTAGATTCACTCCCTCCATCGCGGGCAACATTATTTAGCGTTTCTTCCCTGAGAAGCGCTGAAGGAGCCATCTTTGGAACCGGTGCTCAGGCTAACAGAAAGAAATGCATTGTGCTGCGGCGACACTCGGCCCTGCGGGGGCGGAACGAAGCCGCCTCTCTTCCCGCTCCTCACCACCCGGGCGTGAGGCCTTTCGCCGATGGCCGGCAGAGGGCGCCTTAGACCGCGTGGACCCAGGCCCGGCTCCAGCGAGCGCGGGGTTGCCTTCTGCAGCCCAGGCCTTCCCGACTTGACGTCTATGAGATGGCGTCTTTTTTTTTTTTTTCCTCGTTTATTGAACCCAGGGTGTTCTACCACAGAGCCCCCAGACCTTTTAATTTTTTGAGACAAGTTCTCACTAAGTTGCCCAGACTGGTCTGGAACTTCCGATCCTCCTGCCAGCTAAAAAATATCTTAGGTAGCAACAGAAGGTGAGAGAATGGGATGCTCGCAAGGAGAGCTGGAGCCTGCTGCGTCAGGAGTGGTGAGGGGATCCGCTTTGTCCCCTCTCCCTCCCATTGTCCCCGGTTATTAATCCCAGGGCTTCCATACTGAGCTATATCCCGGACTTTTTTCTATTTTTTATACAGTCTCCCTAAATCACTGGGCTCAGACTCTTGATCCTCCCGTATCAGACAGCTGGGATGACGGGCCAGTCCCATAGCTCCTGGTTACTAATTTAACTGTAATATTAATTATTGGCATTTTTTCCCATTAAGGTAGAAATTTGGTACAAGGTCTCACTACACAAGGGCCAGCTAGATGGCTCCGCGGATTAAAGCACCTGCTTAGGCAGATGCAGGGACTGGGGTTTGATCCCCGGCGTGCTGTGCCGGCCTGCCCCTGGCACACGCTGAGGCGGGCGGGCATGGCGCTGGCAGGCCTGTAATCCCAGCACTTGGGAGGCTGAAAACAGGAGGAGCACTATGAGTCCAACCTGTGTAGTGAGACCCTCTAGATTCTGCACTAAATGCTTTTTTTCTTCTTTTTTTTTCTTTTTCTTTTTTTCTTTCTTTTTTTTTTTTTTGTGGAACCAGGGATTGAACTCAGGCCCTTGTGCTTGCCAGGCGCTTATTCTACTGGCCCCTAAATGCATTTTTTAAAAATGGTCTGGCTACACATTTTAGACCCGTAGTGATCCTCTTGTCTCAGCCTCCCCAGCGCCACCACAGCCGATTTCAGGGCTGGCTCAGCAAGCCAAGGCAGCTCCTCAGCCCCTTAGTGGTTTACATTTAGGAGCTCATACTGTGCCTATACTCACCCCTCACACAACTCCAAGTTGACCTCCATCAACACCCTATTTCTCAGTTGAGGAAACTGAGGTAGGCGGTGGAGAACATCGGCAGGTGCTCTATACTGCCAATTTCCTGGCCACACTGATCACTGAGGCATTTTCCCCTGTTCCACTGTGCCTTTGGCGGCCCCTGAAAGGAAATGGAGGTACAGAGCGCTTCCAAGCTGAGATTGATTTATTTATGTATTCATTGTGGTACCAGAAATCAAACTCAGTACCTCTTGCTTGCCCAGCAGGCGCTGTTTCACTGAACTATGTCCCCAGCCCCGAGCTGGGATTGAGGCGCACGGGCTTAGCCTTGTCTTCTGGGTAGGATGAGGTGGGCCAGGGCTCAGGACACTCAAAGGAGGACAGTGAACCTTAGAATAGCCAGGAACACCCAGCTGGCTGTGGTGGGCAGGCCTGCGATCCTGTAATGCCAGCCCTTGGGAGCCTGAGGCAGGAGGATTGCTGCAAGTTCAAGGCGATCTTGGACTACATAGCTAGACCTTGTCTCAAAAAAAAAGAAAGGCTCAGAGAAGCCTACAAAAATAATCACGCGGGGCTGCTGCAGGGCCAGGCCCTCCGGTGGTGGGAGACACAAAGAGGCGCTTGTCTGTGGGGTTCGCACTCACACACCCGGTGCTCCCTCATACCAGGCGGCCTCTCCAGCTTTATTGCCCACGGCTACCCTTGCTGGGGTCAGAGTGATACACAGGCCCCGGTCCCCACACCAGCACATGGTCTGCGTCATCTTGGGATCAAAAGTTTAGACAAACAGCTGTTCCCG